CAGAGAACATGGTATGGATAGATTATGATTTAGAAAGAACTCGCAGACTGCTAAAAAAGGCTCAGGCTATAGGGAATCTAGAAAGTCTTATCAATGTGCTGATTTCAGAATTTTATTCATTGGCAGAACTGTTTTTTTTTTTTGTTAGGCTTCTGGTTTTTAATCAATTAATTAAATTAATTTCTAACATATCCATGAGTTGCTCTTTTTTCTGTTTTGTTTTTGGGTTTTTTTGGAGTTGGTGTCTCACTCTGTTGTTCAGGCTGGAGTGCAATGGCATGATCACAGCTCACTGCAGCCTCGACCTCCTGGGCTCAGGCAATCTTTCCAGCTCAGCCTCTTGAGTAGTTGGGACCGCAGGTGTGCACCTTCATGCCTGGCCAACTTTTTTATTCTTTGTAGAGACGAGGTCTTGCTATGTTGCCCAGTCTGGTCTTGAACTCCTAGGCCCAAGCATTCAAGCCTCAGCCTTCCAAAGTACTGGGATTACAGAGGTGAGCCACCATGCCCAGCCATTAATTGCTCATTTAATTTTGACTTCCTCCTTTTTTTTTTGAGTCAGGGTCTCACTCTGTTGCCCAGGCTGGAATTCAGTGGCTCAATCACGGTTCACTGCAGCCTCAAACAATCCTCAAACAGAGTCTCCCAAGTAGCTGGGACTACAGAAACACACCACCATGCCTAGCTAATTTTTAATTTTTTTTTTGTAGAGACAAGGTCTTGCTATGTTACCTAGGCTAGTCTTGAACTTCTAGACCCAAGCAATTCTCCTACCTCACCTCCCAAAGTGCTGAGATTACAGGCATGAGCCACTGTGTCCAGCCTTGACTTCCTACTTCTCAATTCCAGTTTTCAACTCTCGAATTTTACTGGTAATTCAAGGTTTTTTTAGTTCCAGAAGTTTAAATTTTATCTTTTAGTTCTAAGGCTAATCCCTTGATCAGAAATTGAGAATGGAATCAAAAAGAAGCAGGCAATAATAGCAGGGAATTGCTCAGGTATACAGTGAATTAGATGAAAGAGAGATGAAAGAGGGGATGTTGGTATAGAGTGGGTATGAATGGTAGAAAATAAGCTACAGCAGTCTTTGGAGAGCCCATACTTACATCCAAGAGCATGAGAAGAACTAAGGTGGAGAGATGAGAGCTTATGTCTCAAATATAAATCTTCTCTCAATTGGCTTTTCAGAAGACTCAAGTAAGCCAACTTATTTGTTCAATGTCAATATTTTACTGCCTTAGCATGTAGCTGAGAATTTTTCTCACCAGTACTATTTTATCATTATCATCATATTCTTTAAGATGAATCTTCTAAGTCTAGAGAGCATTGGTCTGAAATACTCAGAAAAACTCTTGTTCATAAACTGTACCCCAGTGAGTCTCTGAAGGAATAAAGTGCTAGTGACCCTTGCCTGGGCGAAGGGAAAACTTCTCCTCCCCACTCTGAAGGGTCATTGAAAAATCAACTGAAGAAAAACAGATGAATAGGAGAAAAGGTAAGCAAAACTTTTTTGGCTTTTTTGAGTTGGAGTCTCACTCAGTGGCACGCTCACAGCCACCCCAGCATCAACCTGCTGGGCTCAGGCCATCCTTCCTCCTTAGCTTTCCAAGTAGCTGGAACTACAGGCACACTCTACCATACCTGACTAATTTTTAAATTTATTTTAGAGATGGGGGTCTCACCATGTTGCCCAGGCAGGTCTTGAACCCATGGGTTCAGGCAATCCTCTCACCTTGGTCTCCCAAAGTGCTAGAATTACAGGCTTGAGTCACTGCGCCTAGCCACAAAACTTTATTCATGTGTAATGAGGAAAATCAAGTGTGTGTGTTATGATGCTTATATATTTATTTTCATAGAGGAAGGAGAAGATGGGGAATGTAGACAATTTTTTGAGGATCAATAAATCATTAGGGAGAATAAATGGATGCTGGAGACATAAAGTGATTTGTAATTGGTTCTTTTTGGAATTTGAATGAGTCTGAGAAACAGCTATTATCTTGTGAAAAGGTGTGGTTACATTCCTCTTTCTATTATGTAGCTAAATTATAAGATTTCTGGGAGGGGATAGGGAGCAATTGTTTTCCTTGGTAGTTCCAGTATTTGCGCAGATGAGAAAAAAAAGCCTCTTCAGCATCTGCTGATCTCTAAGGGCCTTTAATTTAAAATATTCAGGGTACCAGAATGCCATATTTTGAGGTGAAATTCCCTGAGCTCCTTCACCCTCTTTTGGAAAATGGTAAATTTCCACTTCAAATGCAGACTTACTCATGCTTCAGTTGTTGACAATAAGATGTCAAACTGTAAAACATTTTAGGTTGGTTTATTCTGGCCAATAGAGTGACCAACCCATGACACTCAGGAGGTCCTGAGAATGTGTGCCCACTGTGGTTGAATGGTAGCTTGGTTATATACAGTTTTGGAGAACAGAAATTACAAGAAACCATAAATCAATACATGTGAGATTTACACTGATGCAGTCCAGGGAGGTGGGATATTTCCAAACAGGGATTAAAAGATTTTCTGACTGACAACTAGTCAGCATAATTATCTAAGGAAATTTCAAAGCAGGAAGAGAAGTGGGCAGCCTGAGGAAGATAAGGAGTTTCTTGATATGTAGATGAAGATTTATGGGTGGTGGCCCAGACTTCAGACAGAGCAGGTAATTGTTTTAAAAGATGCCAGAATCCCAAAAAGACAGATTTACAGAGTTATAAAATACTTTGATTTTCCTTCTTTATCTGCTAGAGTCAGGCTGGAGAGTAAATCACGTTGAAAGTTAGGATTTTGGCAAGGAAAAGGAAAACGTCAGTTTAGTCATCACAGTTACAGCAATATTAACAGGTGTGCATTAGTATCACTAGTGCTTGTAACAAACAACCTTAGGTTGAACCTAGACAATCAAGGGCTCAACTTGTAAAGCAGTGAGGAAGAAAGAATATGTGATTCAGGAGTAGATCCTCACATCCACTTTGTCCTAACAGTTCTCTGTGCCATGGCTTCCTAATCTCTGATAGAATAACAATTATTTATTCCTTATAGGAGTAAATTATAAGTGTGAGGGAGAACTAAGAAAAGCTTCTGTCACAAAGGAGCTTCCCTTTGCTGGTCCCTTTATCTTAGGGACACATATCCTACCTCATAGTATTACAGTCTTGAGTAAGGTTCAGCTGCTCTCCCTTTGATACCAATAAATCAAGAGGCAGGGACTTGGTAGAAAGAGGTTTATTTCTGAATTCTAATCCAGAGAGTAGAATCTGACTCCTGGCCTTTCTAAAATGATTCTGCTCACCCTTCAAGTTTTACAGTCCACTTTTATAAATTCAGGGTAGGTGGTACCTATACATAGAATGTGTGACTAGCAGAGCATTGTATAAAACTTAAGCCACAGCTACATTTTGTTAACAATGACATTTATGGTCTATATTTCCTGGCACCAGTTACCAGCGATATCTCACAGCTTTTCATCAGTAACACCCAGCAGAAGAGTTAATCAAGCTTGCCATAGAGTAAAGGGAGTTAACAGGGCCTAAGACATCATATCATACATTACTACATGTTGTTATATGCAAAAGTTATACAAATCACAAGACTTATGATTACACTGATGCAAGTTACACAAATCAAAAGATTTACAATGACCTTGATACTATATTATTCAGACCTGTGACTATTAAGATGCCGGAGTCCAACTCCAGCGGGTCAGGGTTTCCTGAAAGAGGGACAGCGTCGGCACAGGAGAAAAAACTTGGACACTGACTCTGCTGCAAACAGGACAAATGCCGATTTATTGTCTTTTCCAACTCCTTTTATACCCTACATGTTTTTTGTTTTCAAGGCAATCAGTTACAATTTAATGGACCAGACAGGCAATGTATCTTTTTTCATCCTGTTTTGATCTTAAAACATTATCATCCTAAACATTAACTATAAATTTTATAAACTTCTAACATTTCTTAATGATTACCATTTCTTAATGTCCATACAAAACTTACTTATTCCTATAACTATTACATTATAAATCACTACCAAGTTCTAAGCACTATAATTATCACATAGGTTAGCAAGTCACATGTGTGACCTTCACACAGCAATTTGCAACTAGCTGGGGTAAAACAACATTTTCAAGGTTTCTTAGCCACAAGTTGGCCTGACTAGTTTTCCCTA